GGGAGGGGGTGTAGGGGTATGAAGCGGAGGGTGAGAGTTCGAAAAGGGAGAGGTTTTCCGAGACAGGGAGCGGGCGCGGCTCCCCCGAGCACCGACGTTGACGGGAGGGGAGGGGAGGGAGGACGGAGTCTGAAACGTGCTGAGCCCCGAGGCTCGACGCCCAGGAGTGGAGCAGAATTGGCCGAGGCCGGGTGTGGGGTCGGGCGGTGGCGGGGTCGGGGGTGGGTGCAGGGTGACACACGAGGGAATCGGCCCCTTCACCATCCCCAGCAAACCCCCCACCCCCTAACCCCCCCATCACCCCATTCCCCATGACAACCGTGACCTCTTTCTGTGCTGCTTTCAGGTCACTACCCGGGTTGAGATTGTCAAAGAGTTCAACAGCTTGCCAGTGATTATCGGGAGCTCGATAGGAGGCCTGGTCCTGTTGGCGCTTGTGGCTTTGATTCTGTACAAGGTGAGCGGGCAACATGCGGGTGGGTTCAGGGGGTTTTTGGGGGGGGTAGGAGTGTCTGGGAACACCCGCTGCAGCGCCCCCATCCCCACCCTACAGGCTGGGAGGACCCACTGCATCGCCACCCTACAGGCTGGGAGGACCCACTGCATCGCCACCCTACAGGCTTGGAGGACCCACTGCAGCGCCCCCACCCCCACACTACAGGCTGGGAGGACCCACTGCATCGCCACCCTACAGGCTGGGAGGACCCAATGCAGCGCCCCCAATCCCCACACTACAGACTGGGAGGACCCACTGCATTGCCACCCTACAGGCTGGGAGGACCCGCTGCAGCGCCCCCACCCCCACACTACAGGCTGGGAGGACCCACTGCATCGCCACCCACAGGCTGGGAGGACCCGCTGCATCGCCGCCCACAGGCTGGGAGGACCCGCTGCTGCGCCCCCACCCCCACACTGCAGGCTGGGAGGACCCACTGCATCGCCACCCACAGGCTGGGAGGACCCGCTGCAGTGTGGTGTTCAAGCTGGAAAGACATTATACAGTGACATTACCTGCCACAGTGCCACCCACAGGCTGGGAGGACCTGCTGCATTGCCACCCGCAGGCTGGGAGGACCCATTGCAGTGTCTCCACTCAACTCCCCCCGCCCCCGGAAACCCGAAAGGCTGGAAGGAGACACTGCAACACTACCTGCTGCAGCGCTACCCGCAGGCCGGGAGGACCCGCTGCAGTGTTGTGCTCAGGCTGGGAGGACCCGCCGCTGCGCCACCCGCAGGTCGGGAGGACCCACTGCAGTATTGTGCTCAGGGTGGGAGGATCCACCTCGGTACCTCCCGCTGGCCGGGATGACCCACCGCCGCGCCACCAGCAGGCCGGGAGGACCCTCCGCAGTGCCACCCGGAGGCTGGGATTGCCCACTTCTCAACC